TAGTAGACTACAAGGTTACGAATTGTATTAGGGCGGGTCACGAATGTATAGAGTATTAATATCACAATCACTTCATGAATTTCTTCGCAGATCGAATAGTAGACAGAATCCATTGACTTCTTGCACTAGACCCAGTGATTACACGGTGGTTGAGGAATATTACGGCACAAGTTTATGCAATGTGATCTATCACCTTTTTTTGCTTTTGCGGGTTACACGGGTACCCGTGTTGGGTTTTGGGCCGGGTTGACTAACTCGAAACCCGCCCGCGGGTTTGCTGACTAAGACCCGACCCAACCCGTGGGTCGGGTATCTGGCGGGCGGGTTGGTTCTTGGGCGGGTTTTGGCGAGGTCTACCGCATACCAGTTACTCAAGGTCACGTGCCATCTTTCTTAATATGGTACACTTCCCGCCTCATGCTGTCCGCAAAGAAAACAAAGCCATTTTCCTGCCCGTCAATATCGCACAACTTTCCCACAGCTCGTTAAAACTCCTGCTAAAAGAATCAGAATCGAGAGGAATCTGTTTTGACCGCTAGAATTCAAGCACGTTTGGAAATGCCACCATCAGGAGATACGCACATCCACGATCATCTTCTATATCTCTCAGAGCCCGGTCAAATTTTCAAGATTTACAGCTTTCTTGATACATGTTCACCAGACTACCTCGGTGGAATATTTAGTCAGATTCTCCGATACCTGTCTTGAGAAAAAGGAGGCTCAAGACCTTTTGATGAAAATATCGATGGATAAGATTCTACAAGAAAGAATTTGGGTTGCCCTGGATGAAGGCTCCGAGATTTTCATGCTGGCCAAGAAGAACCTCTATTATAAAATCGAGTTTAAAGAGGAACAGCTTCCAAGTCAGGTTCGATGGAAGTACAAGGATCTCCAGGTGATTCTCATTGATAGCCTGGATGAGAACTACCGAAAGCAAGGTGGATGGGTGAATCGACCTCCCGTCAGAGGCGCACAACCATTGATCTTAATTCCATATGTTGGAGGAAGTTTCGACGATGCAATATTCTTGAAATATGATCCGTCAGTACAGGGTGCTTGTAATTAGGTTCAACATTATTCAGGCGGAATACTCATGCGTGTTGTTTTGAGGCTTTACTACGTTGATTTAGGCCCACGAATAAGCTTAATTCTGAAATGTCTTGTTTAAACATATTATTTTGATTATGCTTTGCAGGAATGAACAATATTTATAATTGCCGAGTCTTTTTAGAATTACATAGAAATGCTTTTGCCGTCCTGGGTGACATCCTAAAGTTCGTGAGGCATACTGCTATCCTGCGGCTCCTGAACAACGATCATTGTAGTGAGAGCTTTTTCTTGGGGCATGAGCAGTCCGGGGTTATTAGAAAACATTATTACGAAGGTCGTTGGGTATTAGCATTTTCGAATATTTGCAGTATCACGCAGACGTTCAGAGATACTCCATTAACTAGCTGAATCCGAAACAGGCGATTTACTATCGCCTTGGCGCTAGTGTCTGAAAACTCTCTCCAGTCAATTTTCAATTTAGCTGTAAGGACTCCGTCCTCGATCCTATTCCTCTTCTTCAACGCAGACCTCGTACAACGACAAATTGACAGCCAGGGAGGTGCGATTGCTTTCGTGGACGGTTTCACTGCATGGGTGACGAGGCCAAGTGCGCAGAGTAATTGGGAAGGTATTGAAGCTATTATCGATGAAGCACTGGACTGGGAGAGAAGGAGCGGCGCGACTTTTGAAGCAGACAAAACAGCCATTATACACTTCACTCCCAAGGCTTAAAATTGGGAGCGGGGGGCCTTCACCATCAAGGGACAAACTGCTGAACCCAAAGACCATGTCAGGATTCTGGGCGTCCTGATGGACACGCCTCAAATATAAGGAACACATCGCAAGGGCAACGTCCAAGGGCCTTGAGGCAGTGATGGAACTTCGACAACTTCGAGGTCTGTCCCCATCAACAGCACGGCAGCTATTCGCATCGACAGTGGCCCCTGTAGTGGACTCCGCCTCTAATGTCTGGATGCATGCATTCAAAAATAAGGCCACGGGGCCGATCAACCGAGTCCAAAGGGTGGGAGCGCAAGCAATCGTCGGGACATTTCTTACCGTTGCAACCAGCGTCGCGGAGGCAGAGGCTCACATTGCCACGGCGCAATACCGTTTTTGGAGGCGGGCCGTGAAAATGTGGACGGACCTCCACACGCTCCCGGATACCAATCCGCTCTGCCGAACTACAGCTCGGATCAGGGAATTAGAAGGTTCCACCGTTCGCCGCTGTCCCAAGTGGCAGACGCGCTGAAGAATTGTCGAGATGGAAACACTGGTGACGATCAACCCGCTTACATTAGCACCATGGAAGACACGTAGGCAGACCGATGGTGAAGCCGGGCCGGATCCACAGACTATACCGGGCGGATCCATACAGATCGCGATCAGCAGCTCGGAACGGAACGGGTTAGTAGGATATGGGGTGGCGATCGAGAAGCAGCCACCTCAATACCGAAATTTGAACTTGAAGACCTTCTCGATGGCATTGGGCGCAAGATCAGAGCAAAATCCATGCTCCGCAGAGCTAGCGGCTATAGCTCATACATTGAGCGGGTTGGTGGGACTGGAAGGTTTCAGGCTCAGGTTGCTCACAAGCAACAAAGCGGCGGCCCTCACGATACAAAACCCTCGACAACAGTCAGGCCAGGGGTTCGTCTGCCAGACGTAGAAGTTAATAAACAGATTGCGGAGAAAAGGAAACCGTATCAAGGTTCTTTGGATCCCTACCAGCGAAGACAACAAACTGCTGGGCCTAGCTAAGGAGCAGGCCAGAGCCGCGACCCACGAGGACGCTATCCCACAAGCACAGGTCTCCAGAATGAAATCAACAACCTTGAACCACGCACGACCCCAAGCAGTCACCACGAAAGCCTTGCCCGAGGACGTAGGCAGACACATCAAACGAGTGGATGCAGCACTTCCAGGAAAACACACTCGCCAGCTGTATGATGGATTATCGTGGAAAGAAGCGACCGTGCTGGCTCAACTCCGGACCGGCATGGCAAGATTAAATGGGTATCTCTACCGGATCAATGCCGCGCAGACAGACCAGTGTGCATGCGGACAAGCAAGAGAAACCGTGGAGCATTTCCTCTTCCGGTGTCGGAAGTGGACCACGCGACGGATCGCACTGCTACAATGTACTCGAACTCAGCGGGGCAATCTCTCCCTCTGCCTGGGGGGGGAAATCGCCTTCTGATGATCAGCAATGGACGCCGAACTTGGAGGCAGTACGAGCCTCAATACGATTTGCCATCGCCACGGGCCGACTCGACGCCACCTAACCATGTCAACCAAGACATTGACACCCTTCCTCTAATTAACCTACACCAACCACCCTGTGCCACAGATGGTAGACGCGCTTCAACTGCCGAGGATAGGATGTTGAACACTTGAAGAAGCGCCTTCAAGCCAGTCTACTAACAAATATACTAACCCACAGGGATTCCTACGATATTGACAGCTGAGAGGACATATACTAAAAGGATCTATGTATGGGCTCGAAGGAGATACCGCAGATGTACATTAGACTTCGTGTTGATCAATTAGTGATAGTTGCCCTTTCGGCTGAGCCGCCGGGCGTTAATAGATTGTGTGTGTGTAGCAACTAGAGCACTACGGACTTCTCCCGGACACCCAGTTCGGCGGACGTCCGGGGCGAACAACCGAGCAGGCCCTGCTGGTGTTGACTAACGCAATCGACCGGGCGTGGTATGGACAGAGAGTAGTTACCTTGGTAGCCTTTGATCTGAAGGGTGCTTTCAATGGCGTGAACCAGACCAGACTTGATATTCGTCTCCAAGCCAAAGGCATTCCTAAGGTCGCTCGAAGGTGGATTGCAAGCTTCATGAGCGGTCGACAGGCCAGGATTGGGTTCGATGACTACTGCTCCGAGGTGATACCGCTGGGAAATGCCGGGCTGGCGCAAGGTTCCCCCTTATCCCCTATCCTCTTCGCGTTTTTCAACAGTGATCTGGTGGACCAACCAGTCAACTTTCACGGCGGTGCATCAGCCTTCATCGACGATTACTTCCGTTGGCGGGTTGGACGATCTGCTGAAGAGAACTTGGCTAAGCTCCAATCCGAGGATATACCCCGGATTGAAGCATGGGCTCGGAAATCAGGATCGAGCTTTGCTGCCGAAAAGACTGAACTCATCCATATCACCAGGAAGAGAAGGGAACAATGTCGAGGTCAAATCACCATAAACAGCAGCGTCATCACTCCATCAACAACTGCAAAGCTCCTCGGCGTCATTTTTGACCATGAACTACGGTGGAAGGAACATGTGCAACAAGCTGTCAAGCGAGCTACCAAGGTCAACGTGGCGATTGGGGGGCTGCGGCAGCTTCGGCCTGAACAGATGCGACAGCTATACGAAGCGTGTGTCACACCAGTTGTTCAATATGCATCAACTGTGTGGCACGACCCACTGCGAGACAAAACACACCTGAGACAGTTACGCACCGTGCAGCGTACGGCACTTATTCGTATTCTCTCCGCCTTCCGAACGGTAGCCACAGCCACTCTCGATGTCGAAGCTTATATACTACCTATCCATCTTCGCCTACGCCAGCG